AGTCGGGCCAGTCACAATCAGGCAGCGGTGACCTCTAAACAGGCAGATTAGACGGCCGCTCGCAAGGGCCTCCCGGGGTCCTAGTGAGGAAGCGGACGTCTAATCTGCCTGATTAGAGGCCGCCGCCTAATTGTGACTGGCCGGATCGCTTACTGAGGCGATCCAGGTCGGTCGGATCTATTTCCATTGGTGGACCCTGAACCTAGGCTCGCGTGCCAGCAGAGAGGGCCCCGCATGCCCTAGGTTCGCCACCACTGTACTAGAGCATCTGCAATGTATGCTACATTCAAGGCATGTCTCTGATAACTTAGGTCAGCATTTTAAAGGAAACTTTCAAGCACTCAAATGATTGGAGCCATAGCAGGTCATGTGTACAGCACCAAGGCAACTGCAGATAAATACAGAAGGTGAAGATGGTGCCGTCCTCAGCAGATAGGATGATATGAAGGTTTAGTTCCACTTTTAGGGAAAGGACTAGACAAAGCATGGTGGCAGGAAATTGTCCAGTTTACACTACTTGGCACCTAACCGATCATATGGTGCATGGTTTTTCCCTCCCAGCTTTCTAAGCTAAGGCTCCACTCGCATATAGTGGAAGACTGCACAGGATGCAAACGTTATGTGAAACTGCACGGATTCCTCTCGTTTGCGGCTATTATATAGCCACGAATGTGTGGAATCTGCCATATTATTGCGCTTGCACTATTTTGGGGGCAATAGTCTGAACAATGCACATTAAAGTGCATTTTTTTTCTGCTTAGAGCGGCTCCGTGCATATTTCATACAGCCGAATACGTGCGGACAGCCACCCCAGTGTGAATGGAGACCAACACAAAGGCACCATAAAGAGGAAAAAAGTGTTCCGGGTGAAATTATGGTCACATGACAAGTTCTTGGTGATGGCACAAACATTTCCCCAATACAGCAACTGGGACCAAGGGCTGCCCTTACCATCTCTATGCACCATTGTGGAGTAAACCAATCTGGAGTGTAATTGGGGCCCCATTTCACTGCTAGTCTTAATAAAAACTAGGATATGTGAAACTTAGATTTGTAGTTCTTTTACAGTGAGAAAGTTAATTACATTTAGGGCCCATTCACACCAAAAATCGGAAGGTACTCCATGGAGGGTCTGTTGACCTGGGATTGTACCTTACAATTTCCATGCAATCCATTGCTTTATTATTTGGACAAGCTTTATGTGAACATGCCCAGAGTGAACATACGTCACTGTAAATCTTGCAATGCATCAGTGAGCTTTTTGACACATTGCACTGATAAAATGTAGAGCACATTCTCTTTCAGCGCAACGCACCAATATAAACTGTCATTCATTTTTCATTGCCCTTGCGTTACCATCTGTGAGAAAATGCATCGTAACGCAACAGATCTGGTGTGAATGGGCCCCAAAACATTCTCTTGGAAAGAACGTCAAAGCATTCAGAGTGAATGCCTCCAAGGCTGGCACTTGTCATTACTGTCCTTTCTAACTTGTGTAAGGCAACATCCCTATAAGGCAGGGATTCTCATCTCTCCTCAGCCTGAGACACTGATTACTGAACATCTTGTAGTCTGCTCTGGCATGCAAGATCCTGCTAACCGTTTCCCTTTACATATTTAAAAAGACATACAGGTTCTAACTCTGCAAGGAAATGAGTTGATCACCCATCACCCTCTTACTAGCAAAAATATAGAATGCCATGCAAACCATTTGAAAAAAACACTACTGTAGAGGGACAATACTACACAAAACCTGCACATATAGCAAAGCAGAATCTATTGATGATTAACAAGGAAAAGATAAGAAACCTCACAAACATCTGATAAGAATTTTGTAATAGCTGTACACAGTCACTCCAATCACAAACTGCTTCGAACATCACGAAGCCCACCACAAATAGGACTGTGCCAAAAAAGCAGCAATTCCCAATGAGAACACTATTTATGTGCTTTAAGGCTGGCTGCAATAGTTTGATATGCAGTCACGCAACTAAATTGCGTGACTGCATATCAAACTAAATTGGAAGCAACTAAATTGCTAGTGATCGGTTGCTTCCACTGAACACATAGAAGGCTCAAGTGGAGTTTGTTGTGCGATCAAGCAACGGATCGCAGGACAGTAGTACATGATCCAAATCAAATTGCTAACTTTTAAGGTTCTCTAGTTGTTTTGGTCAATTGAGCTGGCCCCTACTAAAAATATCCTGCTGGCTCATGGATTGGACAGAATGGCTCCTGTGCCTGTGTGTAGAATACAAAGACTGCAATGACAGCCTCATTTTTTTCTAATAAAAAGCTTTTAAAACACTTTTTCAGACAAACATTGTGCAAGCATGGACACAAAAATCGGGATCTAAACCCACAAGTTGATGTATTGCAGCTTACCGGTCCTTAGATGTGCGGGCTGCATTAGTTTTCTTCTCACCTAGTGCTTCTGCCAGTAATGCACATTTCCGGTGCTTGGATAACACTTTACAAACTGTCACCTTGGGACAGGACTACAGGAAACTGTCCCTCTGCTATTCTCAACAAAAATAGGCATTCTGTAGTCTGCAGCTAACTGGGAAGAAGGTAACTGAAAGACTGCAGCGCAGAACACAAGTGATCAGCTGACAAGATTTCTGGCAGGATCAACAGGTAATTTTTATTGGAACAGATCCCAAAAACCTTTTGATGTATTTAACAGAATATATGCAGCAAAAAAATAAAATCAGAATTCAGAATTGAGATAGTTGAATGCGCAGCAAAAAGTCTCAAAACTATAGCACGTCCAGTTGCCTTGATTTATACAGATCGATGACCTGGATGAATGAGAACCTTCATAGAAAGTCATAGGTTGGTTGTCACATTATTCTGTTAAAAATATAGTAAATATTGTTCAGTGGCAGTAAAGCTTTCATCGGCATGCTTTTACCATCAATACCGGCTCCACGCTATAAAGCACACTTTATATCCTTGTCCATTTGCTTATGCATACAGGTGAAAATCGAATAATTAGAATATCGTGCAAAAGTAATTAAGTGCTGCAAAATGGGCCCAAACCAAGTACTGAGTACATATGCATGCTTGTACTTTTCAGAGGTCCGATATTGTTCTATGTACAATCCTTGTTTTATTGATTGCATGTAATAATCTACTTTTTTGAGGTTGTGGATTTGGGGTTCTTGGGGTTTTCATGAGCTGTAAGCCATAATCATCACAATTATGACAAATCACGGTTTGAATTATCTTGCATTGCATGTAATGAGTATCTCATATTAGTTTCACCTTTTAAGTTGCATTAGTGAAATAAATGAACTTTGCACGATATTCTAATTATTCGAGTTTCACCTGTATATTCTAAATGGAAAAAACAAATGCTGTGTAAAAATAGATTTCAAATGACTTCATTGTACATGCATGAAATCCCATGATCGTGCGACTGTAGTTGCCTCAGTGCAACCAGTCTTCTAGAAATTAATGAACTTATGCTTTGAAGCTTTTGGAAAGTTCACTGCTCTAAATTGGATTGAAATAAGTTACCATGAGACCTACAATAGCTCTCTGTATACCTATACCAACAGTAACTACATGTTGTTCACGTTGCACAATAAAGCACGTCCAAAGACAACTGGGAGGTTTTAATGTTGGAATGAGTACACAGTTGTCAAGAATCTCAGCTGCTGCACGTGCTCAATCATTAGATAGGAAAATACACCAGCAACTGTTTAAGAAGTCTATTTCAAAGTGCCTAATATGTAAAAAAAAATTACAAGACACATTGGTGAAAATGAAAAAAAATATAAACAGTGCCATTGGCCTATTTTATGAAACACAATATAAAGTATTGCAAGAACCAAAACAAGCATTCACTATATATAAAAAAAAAAAAAAAAAACAGAAAACAAAAAAAAAAAAAAAAAGCAG